GAAGAAGACGAGGTGAAGTGTCGCCGAGGACGAAGAAAAAAAACAAAACAGAGTTGTTGTGCGTTCTTCGTAGCGCTACTGAATAGGAAGTGAGCATTCATCAAGTTTTATTGACGTCGGCGTTGCGTGTCAAGCACGGAGCGTACGATGACACGCTTGTGCGTGTTGTCTCGGCAACACAATTTAAAACATCGCGCAAATATGAATGAAATTCTTAATCGACAAACTACCAATACATAAGAATACTTGAGAAATACATCAATCAAAGCTAGAAATCTTAAAATGTAATAAAAAACATTTGAAAATTTAAGACATTTATTCAAGTATTTCAAGTATTTCATTGTAAAAAATTTTTTTAATTTAATTGGGGGAAACAAAATAAGATAAATTTAATTGTAAAAACATTGATTTTTAAATAATAAATTTTTCTGATCTTCAGGAAATTTTACAATAAATAAAATCTCTACAAGACGCCAATCAAAGTTCGTAAGATTTATTGCTATTTTGAAAAAAATACCAAGAGGATTTTTTACGAGCCGCGGCGATAGTAAGATGATACATTAAAATATATTCTGAAAGAAGGGCTGTTAATGACGAGTACCGTTTTCTTTTAAGCAATCGACATAAAAGAGGACTGTTTAAATTTTAGATATGTATTCGTAAAAACTCGATGACACGTTATCAACGTATTTGCGGGCACAGTTTTGCAATGCGCAGGTTCGATTTCGGCTTGTCGACACTCTCGCATTGTGAATGGGAAAAAAACATGGCTTATTATCGCGGCTTTCACCGCGAAAAGAGACGTCCGCAATCGTTTGTGGACGCGACCCGCCCTGTTCGTAAAAAGTAATGTACCAAAAATGCACGTTACTGCAATACGGAGTATTGAAAAGTTAAGGTGCAAATTGGTAAGGCACAGCGTTCGTAACACTTTAATATTTATAACGGTGCTCTCTCGTAAAGCGAACTCCAAGAGAACTGAGTTTCATCGATTATCGACGGAATTGTGCGGTGAATAATAAATGTTACACGCGTAACTCTTAAAATCTTTATTCGCGTTATCCTTCGTCCTAAAGCACGTCCTAGAAAGCACGGCTCATCGGCAAAGATAAATAAATTATTTATTGGCAATTCAATTATTAATCTTCTAATGTTCCTCGAATTTACGAACGCAGATTGTTTTATTAATAGAATAGGCCGATGTAATTAATTATTACGCAAAAGCTGGTAGCAAATAATTTCGCGTTCACCACATCGTATGAATAAACAAAGACTATTCCACGTTAATTAGGGTAAAAAAAAAACAGGTATAATAACGAAAGTAAATTAAAAGGCAAACTAAATAAATAAAATGAACAAAAGTCAATTCTAGGTTCACCAATGGACGTGTCATCAAAGATTGATGGTGAGAGAGAAAAGGCCTCCTTAAGAAAATCATACTTCTTAATGAGAAAATCAGTGCACGGCACGGTTGCTCGTACAAAGCGACAGGCGGAAGGTTAATTGAACACTCGTTATTCGATGCTTCCGAAACACGGTGAGTAAATATAACTTGAAGCGTCCGCTTCGTGCAAAGTGACAGGATAAAGGAAGAAAGGTATGACAGCTGGCATCGCGCTCGGTCCTTCGCTTGACCTAACCCAACCCGCTCCAAAATATTCTATGGGGTTCGACGTCTTTTCACGCATGAGACGAAAGCGCGCGCGGGACGGTCGCATCGCGGAGAAAAAGGTGGTCCTGAGGCGCAGCTGCCCTCGGTGGCCATATTGTGAAAGCGTAACAGTTGTCCAAAAAGACGTGCCTGCTCTGCTCTGCTCTGCTTTGCCCTGCCCTGCCCTGCCCTAATTGGCCATTGTCGGTCGTCTTGCACGGTGACGTCGCATTCACATCAAACCGAGCGATTGTAAAGCGATTCGCAAAAGCTGGATACGCGAATGCAGAAGTCAGGTCAGAAGAAAATGCGGGGAAATGCATCATCCCACTGACTCCGACATTCATTGATGATGTTAGCCGTGGCGCAATACGCGGCGAACCGTTAATCATGATCAAAATTAATCAAAAACCGCGGATGAACATGAAGTAGTTTCAATTATCATGAAGTAGTTTTAATGACGTATTACAGGGAAAAAAATTTCTCGCTTGATGGATGACAATTGCGCGAAGATTAAAACGCTTCAAGCTTCCAATACGCGTCGCGTTTGCTGTACAAATTGCCGTATGAACGTAGCTTTATATACGCTCGTGATTCCGCGAAAAACTCTGGCAAAGTAACAGGTGGACCTACAGCGAATTCCGACGAGGACTGAGTCTTCCCCCCTCCCTCTCTCTCTCTCACTCTCCTTCCCACAAAAAATTTCACACACATCTCAAAGGAGATATAAAATAAAAGTATATAAAGTGAAATTTGAGAGCCCAATTAATCATCTCATTCGATAGATGATCGAAATTTTACTCAAATTAACTTTAATCTACAAATAACTTGGAAACAATTTTTTTAATTACAATGCTACATTAAAAAGTAAACAAGAAAATTATAAAAATTTAATTTTAAATTAGATTCCGGATATACAATTAAAAAAAAGCTGCAATTTTTAATTAAGTTAAGATTAAAATTTTAAACAAAAAAATTGAATCTTGGTATCAATTAAAATATTATACGCTTAACTTTTTTTTATCACGCGATACGTTAATCTTGTTAAATTAACAGGCAATGCTAATGAGAAGTCACGAATTGCCACTTGTATGTCCCAAATATCTTTCGTTATCTCCATTATATTGCGCATGGCGAGCGTGATCGAGGAAATTTCACAAGCGACTCTCCACTGACCTACGATTACAGTTGCGACACCATTTAGGTTCTGCTGATGCGTGTTATCAGCTGATTGCTCAAGTGAGATAAGCTGAAAGCCTCTCACGAGGGATCGTATGTCAAAATCGAAACAGTTTGATACATCATCCGCAACATTCCTACGATTGACATATTACCGAATGTTGACACTAAGCTAATTGATATTTATAGTATACACGTGTAAACAAGATTTTTAAGATTATAGTAGAAATTATGTCAACGAAAACAGCTAGGTTTCATAATAATCTTTCTATGAAATAAAATTGATCGATTATCGGAATTCATCAAAGTAACACGACAATAATTAAAACGCATATCTGCGTTTATAATTATGGATTGTCATGGACAATCGGATATCATTGCATTTTTTTATCGGCATTTATCATAAAATAATCTTTCGGAAAATGTCTTGATTGCTATCAGCGGAGGAATTCATTAATTTGAAATAATTTATTTTCGCAGAATGCATTTAAAATATTTAAAATATCGTTTTAGATTCAATAAATTAATTCTTACAGGAAGAATATTCTCTTCAAGAGAAATAAGCAATAAATGAGGAAACTTTAAGCACCTGAACCTTTGAAACATTATCGGCAGCATTGCGATAATAGAAAATTCACGATCGCATCTGCTCGTAATAATAGATAGATTGCAACAGTGTTGCGCGGCGCACCGACCAGCTGATTAATTGTTCAATTGCAAGAATAGCGCTCGACATTAATAGTTCATAGACTATGTTTATCTATATGAAGGCCTGCATCCGGTCTTATGCATATGAGAATCCGATTCGATATGAGAATATCGCCTAAAGTGGGCCGAATTTTTATCGATCAATGATGATAAAGCGTTTTCTTCAACATTCAGATAACGCCGAATAAATTACAAATATCACGTTAAAGTCGTGTAACTTGAATAGAAAGTGTTGACTGATTAGTAAAAGAAAACTCAAATATTGGCCGTGCGACAAGACAGCTATAAAGGTAAGATCGATTCAGGTGTTAACTCTTCGTTATCTCTTACTTTCTGAATGTAATCAATTCATTTCTGAGCTGAATTATATAATATCACTCGCTATCGCACCTGAATATATCTTGCTAAATTTGCATAATTTCCTATATTATTAAACGTAAATCAAAACTTAATAATTAAAAAAATTTATTATACTCCCGAGAATTTGATAAAATTGAATTTTGCAAAAAGAATGCAAGGAGCCAGTGATTATTTAATAATAATTTTTCTGGATTAAAATATCTAATACAAATCACAAGAACTTTTCTTCATTTTTAGAAGATTTTTCTATTAGTGACATATATTTCTTTTTTGCAATGATTAATTCCAGATTTTTAAATTACAAGAATCGATTTTTAGATTGTCACAGCGAGTTAAAGAGATGTCGACGCGATAGCAGTTTAATTCTGTCGTCGAAAGTGGGTCAGAATTTTATCAGTCACGACGAGAAAACGGAATTTTACAAGTTCCCGTAACGTTTTCAGAAGCTTACGATCGTCGCCTTGGGATTCATTTGCATGGCGATCGAGTGGAAAATGTTAATGAATTCAGTGGATACTGATCATCTGATTAATGTTCGATCTTTTTAATATTAAATGTAATGCGACAAGTGGCGTTACAACGACAAGCGAATAACCCTGTCGCATTGACAGAACATGATTCATATGACGCATAAAACACTAACCGTAATTATCCGTAATTAACTCGGTATCACAGATGCGGCCGATATTACTTTTGCATTACTAACGTACCGCGATAAGTAATACCCATCGACCGAAAGTTAACGATACAAATGACACTCGCGATCGATTTCATTTCAGATATGTCGTCTTAAATACTTCTGAGTTTCTCAAATTTTTTCGATGTGACGTGCCGTTATAAAACTAATAAATACTTCGAATTTGATTTGACACATTGTGCGAGTTATTTGATTTTCTCACGATTCCGCCGTCGTGATAAATTTTATACTCAACACAAAGTATAATTATTCAATTAATCAATTTATCCGATAAATGGCAATAATATTTCATATCAATGATCTTACCTTATAACTTTTCGCCTGTTGTTGGGATGCAATTTGCGCGCCATCGCCGGATCGACCTCCATCAGTCTTCGATGAAGTACTTCGTTGCTTTCGTCGCACAATCTCGCATCAAATTTCAACTTCTTCACTGGTGCCGCCCCATCGTCATCGTCGCTGTCGTCGTCGTCATTCTGTCGGATGTCTCGCACGTTATATCGACCGTCCGATCGTCTGTTCTCGATCGGCGCACTCGAGTCGGCCTGCACCGGCGGATCTTTCGGATAATCTATAAGAATCTCCCATAGCAGAGATTCTATGTAATAGTTCGTACCACCGACGACGATGGGCAGTTTCCTCCTCGCCAGCAGCTTGTCTATCTACATCGATAGAAAGAGTAACACATTCGCGGCGGTACGTGGAAGAGAACGGGATCGAGCGATCCGCGCGAATGACCATGGCTAATGATCCTATCAAGGTCTTCGCGAGGATTAGGGGCGTTCCGATCGGCCTGGCTTCGTCCAAGATCTTTATTTTACGAAGTCGATTTCGCGAGCTGTTAGCTGTGAACCCATCGCGATAAAAACGCGCGCGCGCGCGCGCGCACGAACACCCAGTCGGCGTTATAATCCTGAACGTAACAATGAACATCGTGCCGACTGAATAAAAAAAGAAAGAAAAAAAGATATCACTTTCGACATCTGCGATTCATTAAGCATTCTTTGTACACCGATTGAGCTCTGAGAAGAATGACTTGCCCACCTGACGCTTACGATGGTTTACGGATTCTTTAAACGTTCTCATCGTTTTCGAATAAACATTGATATTAGCGTGTGAAGGCATCCTTGTCCATTAAATAAAATTCAGGATGCGAAATAAATTGAGCGCTGCATGTTAATGCATGCAAATTATAATTGTTATTACGTCGTTGAATTAATTTCCAGTTATCTCGCGAGAAATCAATATATTAATTAATATTGAGCCGCTTCAAGCTTCTACAAAGCCGATATAATCCGCGAATTTTGTACAATTTTCGTTATTGCTGCATATCGATATTTACAATTATTATGTCAGCCCCATTCGCGGCGGAAAAAAGGATAAAAAATAAAATGGTTATTACAATCGGCAGAGACATGTCCCTAAAGTCGATTACGGAGAAGTTGTTCAGCGGATCCACGACGTCCAGCATGTGATGCGGTGCCATTTGTCTTTCCGCCGGGGTCACCTTCGCGGTAATGATGTCCAGGCTTTTGTACACCTGCGGGCCGAAAGAATCATCATAATTAAAAATAAAATAATGAGGGAGCGCGGCGAGAGATAGCTACGAGTAACAGGTAACGGTTGATAAATAATGAATGAATATAAATAATGAAAGATCGAACGATTCCGTTAATTGCAATCGCTTGTGAGTGGTTATTTTCGGCTCGAATAAAAAATCTGTCATATAATGCAGACTTGTCATATAATGCAGTCATATAATCCAGCGGAGCCGCCTTCGAGATCGATTCTTTCGCCATGAAAGTAGAGAAATAAAACAAGAACAGCTTATCAAGTCCTTAGCGTGCGTAAATTTTTTAATCGGTACAACGCAAACAGATAAATTAATATGATTTTTTATTAATATAACTTGTGCTTCACCCATATTTTCCGGTGTACCGCTCGAATTCTCACGAGTTTTATTCGGATCATTATCTTTACATAATAATTCATGAATTATTCATGTAAACTATAATCGTGTGTTTGCATTTTTTTTTATACAAAATTATTACGCAACAAAATTAAATCGATCCGTTAGAACGGTTGTAAAGATGATGAAATAAATTATCAGAAATAACCCGATAATTCGAATCGAGCACCACTGTTGGAATTTTTTCGCTCAGATATATGTCAAATTTGCATTTACAAGCGAATTTATGGACGGGCAGCGGTATCCAATAGAGCAATATATATATATATATGTAAGTCCGAGGTCATCGCGAGTGTACCATAAAGGCCCCCATGCAGAGAAAAACGTCGATGCAGCGAAACGAGCTTCCCGACAATATCGCAAAAGAAACACAAGACACGGAGAACCGGATCTTTAACGAGAATCGCTTAAAATGGTGGCAATTATAAATTGATGTCACGTAAAAACAAATAATATCCTCCGCCTTTCTTATTTGGCACTGTTATTGCTAACGATTCCATTCGAAGCACGTGGAACTGCGAATATTTCGATGAAGCAGTTACAAAGTGTCCCACTTTACGGATTTCCCGATGAATCTGAAATTAATTTTTCCTGCGACAAAAAAATTTATCGCCGGTTCCACCGACGGTCGCGAGTTCTGCAACGAAATAACGTTATACATATACATATCGCATGCATATTCATTACGATATGTCACTGAACTGGACACCACGTGCCAAATCTATATCCCGTCGTACCATCGAAATGTGTGGGGAAAAAAAAAATGAAACGCGTGGTTGACCTTCGTCACGGTTCGTTCATCAGCGCGAGCGAGCTACGATCGGAAACATCGTACGTCATTTCTACAACGATGGAATGCCGAAGAGAAGTGGCGTGACGGCACAACACGCGTACAAAGTATCGTCAAAGTGCTCGCGGACAGTGACCGGCTTGCCAATTGAAGCTGCTACTCGAAATTCACTAAGTCGCCTTGAGAGTGAGTGTTGGCTGCAAAAAAGCAGAAGCCGAGGAGGTATGAAGATGTCAGTAAGATGGATTATTGGTTAACGACGTCTCGACAAATGATTTCGAAAAGTAGTTCATCGCCAGCAGATAACAAATGGGCGGTCTCGCAACAAAGACAGATAAAGGAAAAATAAAAATAGACGGAAAAGGAAAAAAGAAATACGTTTTCAAAAGGCCTAACTGTGATTAGATTATTGATAACGCCTTTGAAGATGTTTCTTTCATTATTTCACTCCTGACATAACGAAGATGGATTAATTCCGAAGGCGTTCACGCCGATACAACTGATAATCAATCAGTAGCCTCTTCCCGATGTTTCTACACTTCTGAGAAAACGTGTTTCGTGATTTGGCAACTGCAAGGATATTCTTTAATTTGAGGGAAAAAAATCGAATACGTATCGAATACGTGCTCGGAGGATCAATAGAGCTTTCAATCACTTTACTACTTCGTTAATCGACCGGTTGCTAAACGAAGTTCCGTCGGTGCTCCGTGATTCGCTTATATAATAGCGAAGGTATGGAAGCGAAACGTGGAAACGATCGCAGAACTCGTGTAGTGCATACGCGGAGTAAAAGCGAAGTCAGACACGTGCTAACTATCGTCAAGATAATTTTCGCGATCAGAACTCAGGCTCTAATAGACTTCTTAATTACTTAAATGCGTCTAATGGCACTTTTTTGCGTCCAGTCGAATTATTCGTCGATTATATCGACTTTTACCGTTTAGGAATTCACATAATTACGGTCGATTCTATTGAAACTGCTTTATAACCTGAGAAAAATAATGCGTATCAACATAATCTTGCAATGACGCAAGCCGTTTGAAGTTTAAAGCCGCAGGTGTCAGTGGTATCAACCATTTAAATCGCACGGAAGCCAACGACTATTATTACAGCACACGCTGTGAATTCACGACACTTTTACGGCTTAACATGTCGTGCAGATATCGATTAACTTGATAAACATTAAATCTTTTACAGCATTCTCGAAGTAGAAAAAAACCCTCCAACATTGATAGGAATAAAAAATTGCTCGATTTCGAAAAGAATAATATCCTCCTCAGCGATGCATTTGATGAATCACGTTTCCGGCACGTCAAATACTTTCAATGTTTACAACCTTCATTAGCCTTCATTCATTATTTCGTAATTATTTTACGTCCAAAAGATTAAAGAAAAATTAAGCAAATGCGATGATCGATAAGCGATTAAAGGACCGTTTGAAGATCTTCGATTAATAAACAATAAGTTAATTTATCGATAAAAATAAATCGAAAGAAATGAACGCTCAATGCACTTGGATTTTTATTTTCTTATCTTAAAAAAGTATCTTAAAAAAGAAAGGTTTAATTTGTTCTGTGACATAATTACAAAAATAATGCGCGATCGTAACAATAGTTCTAATTAGCTCCGAACAATTTTCGAAGATCCTCTTTTAAATAAAGATTCTTATTTAATTTATTAATATTTCATTAAGAGACATCATTTTTAGAAAAAGTTATTTTTAAATATTTTTAAATAAGTTACCTACATTTAAAAAATATCGTTTGCTAGTTAATAATCATTGCATAACCAATCATTGCAAACAAAAACGCTAATCGCTTCCATTTTTCATCGTACCGCAATAATTTACACATCGTTTTAAAAATAATCTCAAATAAATTTACTTTGAACGTCGATTAGCGCCATTCGCCGTTTTTGCCGAACTTATTATTTTCGATTTAGCACGATTGGAAGTAACATAACATGGAAGTAACATTTCTGTCGAAAAAATCAACAACAGTAGAAAAAAAGAAAGTGGCAGATCTTGAATAATACGTAGAGGAAATATTAGTGAGGTTCAACGACAAAAACGGACGATGACCGCCGTCTTCCATTAACAAAATTAGCAGTATCGTCTCGCCGGCACATACTATCTTTTACGCAATATTCTGTCTTTGAAATGATACTAATAAGAAATTTTGCAGACACTCTACACGTACAAATACATCATACATTTCAATTTCATTTTAAATGTCAAGATGAGAAATTATACTTCTATTCTATATTTTAGTAAAGTTTCTTGTTTAACAAAAATGTCGAAACATCAATAGTTTCCAACAATAATTTCTCAGTTACAAGCACTTGAAAATTATTTTCATTATCATAAATATATGCTTCATAATAAATAAAAATTGTGTGTAAAATTCTATTTATATATTCAATATCTGTCCTACATTTGGAGAAATACCTAGGAATTTTTAATGTGACGAAACACACGCGATCCCTTCTAAACATGAATAATAATGTTGTAATTTAATTATTGTATCATCTTGAAACTCAAGACGCAGGTTGAAATTTTTCGTAGATCTTTAATACTTTCCAACCCGACAGGTGAATAAAACGAGCGATGGGTAAACCATTACGACGAATCAGCTGCTTCGGTAACTGTTTCTTAAGAGCTCTTACCTATTTTTTCAAATTTTTTAAGCAACACACATCGAATTACGCAGAAAAAAATTGAATAAAGGGCAAAAGAGACAAAAAAATCCACACTGGATAAAAAATTATGTAAACATATGTACACTTGAGTTTCGATACGGCTGCGTTAGATTCTTTCATGATTACAAAATATTTTTCCCTGTGATGCTTAATTTTGGTTATTTAATGCTTTTAGAAGTTCGGAAATTGACTAGAAATAAGTTATAATTTCCGATAAGAAATCGATAGCTTCCGAATCTTGTACGAATCATCAAACAGTTCTAATTTCGTACGAGTCTTCGACCTGTTACGTAATTTCGAAGCAATAAAACCAGCCGGAAAGAGCGATCGACAACTTAAGTAGACCGGGCACCAAGATTCACGTTGAGGTTCAAAGAAGCGAGACACCATTTATCTTTCTTGTCTTGTTCGTCACTCCGTGACCGGCTCGTCAACGAGCGAGTGGCATTACACGACTTGGTGTTGGCGGAAGTCGCGACCGCACTCTAGACGGATCTAATTCGAGATCTCAGAAATAGATGAGAAGGAGCGAACCCGAAGAGGGCGGTCTCCAAACGTTTCCTAGACTCAAGGTCGCGATGCGGCTACGGAAGCCTGGAGGAAAAGCGGGGAAGAGTCGCGTCGTGTCGGCCGAACGGAGCATTCTAACGGTGCTCGGTACGATAGAGAGGTTCACGGATCGGGAATATCCTGTGCCGCACATTAACGCTGAAGGAGGAATCGCACAAAGTGGCAAAATCATCACCACAATCGCGAAACAATTTGTAAAACTTATCGATCGGCATGTACTCAGGCCTGTGACTGAAGAATTCTACAACTAAGACTACTTCTAAGATTTCTGAAACAAATTGGAAGTTTTTTTACGAAAGAACGAGCGACCTTTTCGCGATTTAAAAGTGAAGCACGTGTGTTTGACTAGGCTCCATTAAATTCTAGTGCGGTAGGTTTCAGGTTAAGCCACGATAGCTATAAATCAAATAGGAAAAGGGAGTGACGTATGGACTTCGCTAGGTTGAATATTTAATCAGTAGAAAAGACAAGAAGGTCGACACATAGCGACACGCTGCCGTCGTCGCGACAGTAG